TATATATATATATATATATATATAAATGATTATTTCTTTTTTATAATAAATAAAAATAATTATAATTTTTTTAAAATTAATTAGTAACAAGTAATTAATTTATACTTTTAAATTTGTATATCTATAATTGATATCCTTTTAAGTATAGCATTTTACAAGATATTTATTATTATTATTATTATTATTATTATTATTATTATTATTATTATTATTATTATTATTATTATTATTATTATTATTATTATTATTATTATTATTATTATTATTATTATTATTATTATTATTATTATTATTATTATTATTATTATTATTATTATTATTATTATTATTATTATTATTATTATTATTATTATTATTATTATTATTATTATTATTATTATTATTATTATTATTATTATTATTATTATTATTATTATTATTATTATTATTATTATTATTATTATTATTATTATTATTATTATTATTATTATTATTATTATTATTATTATTATTATTATTATTATTATTATTATTATTATTATTATTATTATTATTATTATTATTATTATTATTATTATTATTATTATTATTATTATTATTATTATTATTATTATTATTATTATTATTATTATTATTATTATTATTATTATTATTATTATTATTATTATTATTATTATTATTATTATTATTATTATTATTATTATTATTATTATTATTATTATTATTATTATTATTATTATTATTATTATTATTATTATTATTATTATTTATAATATTGAATAATTTTAACGAATCCCCGCACCCGTATCCATACTCGGATTCGCACCCCCGAATCTTAAAATTTAAATTTTGCCGAATCCGACTCTCGGATTCGCATCCGTCTCGGATACCCGCGCCCGAGTCCGAGCAACTTAGTTGGCAGCAGTAAGTGTTCTAGCCTTCTAGGAGGCCAAAGAATGAGAAACAAAGAGAAGGTTGTGGAATCATTATCTTGTATTCTCTCGTATAAGACATGGAAGGGGCTTAGTTATTGATTAGGGGTATCAAATGATTTAAGCTTCTACAATATAGAAAAACTATTAACTACACATTAGAAGTCAATGCAAAGTACTTTATCATATCCTAACAGAAGCTGGGAGCTTGCAGAACTGTTTGCACAAGTTATGAAAGGTTAAAAGAATTCATACTAAACTGCCGGTTTCGTTTTCCATATATGAATAAACTTCTAGCACTCTGTAGAATGATCTGTTGCAGATAATATAAGATTTTATGAAACAGTAAAAGCATACTTAAAATGGGATTGATGCATCTACAGTCCGATATCATCTTTATATGCCAAGGAAAAATTCATTCCAAATTATTACATGATGTTAAATGTACTCCTATGCACTTCATTTGAATTTGACAGGAACATCAATTGAAGCATCAAGAGTGCATGCAACTTTCTAAAGGACTACCTTTTCATAATCTATCTCATACCTAAAAAGAAAAACATACCCAGTGTAATCCCACAAGTGGTGTTTGGGGAGCGCACGATGTACGCAGGCCTTAGCCCTAACTATACCTCTTTTTAAAAAATTATAGACACAAGATTATGCTAGAGTTTCTTTTTCTTAATCAATATATGATGACTTAGTAGACTGAAAAATAATTATAAACGACATGATTGAAGGAAAAAAGAATAATGCATACTTGCAGCAAACTCAGGAGGTGAGCAAGATGTTTGGATCTTTTCAGGTGACTCAGTGTATAGCTGCTCATTTTGCTGTCTTTTCTGATTCTTTCTCTCTGAAAGCTTTAGAAAGAAATCATTTTCTGCAGAAAAAAGAAGAAGTATAAATAAGCAACAAAATGCATCATTTTTCCATTAATTAGCAAGAAAACTCTCATTCTTTTGCTTTCAGCATTCAAGAATTCAGCAAAGGAGAAAGAATTGACTTTTTCTTTGTTTCCCCATATATTATCTATAATCCTCCCTCCCCTTCCCAGCCCCACTTTATTGTAGTACGGACAAGACAAAGAACGTCTTTTTAAGTAATTTACTTACTGACAACAACTGAAGAGTCTCCATCAGGCATTTCCTTGCTTGAAGTTTCTCTACCGTTTAGAGCAACCTGAATTATAACGTAGACAGATAAAATCAAAGCTACAGTATCATACAGCCCTTTCTATGTTAATCCTATGCCAGATTTTACTCTTCTCTCTACTTAATTGGATAAATAAGTAGACTGATATTTGAGAGGTAGATGCAGAGAGGGAATGAGACCAGTATATGCAAACAATAATGGACAACACAGGCATGTCACTGGGAAGGACACAACTACTGGGGAAGATATTATTTGTTTTGTGATCATGTTGCAGAGATGTAGAAGAAATACAAATTCTTTATGTGGCCAAGGGTGTGACCTAACAATTGATGAAGCTGGAATGAATATATGCAGGACAGAGTACTGGTAAAAAATCCAAGTAATTTCATCCCATCTGCTTAGTTGATGAAGTACAACAATACACGTATTGGTGGTAGGATGTAGGTACCCAGTGGAATGGTCGATATGTTAACAAGCTAGCTCAAACACTACCATGGGTATCAAAAAATAATACTATACTTTTTTCATTATAATAATGGTGGGATTGAAGGACTTGGAACAGGTCTTCATTACTTAAGAGCCATATTCGAGCTAGAAAACTAACTTCTAAAGAGAGTTCACCTTTCTTAAACCTAGCACTTGCAAAATCCTAATGCTAATCCGATCACATTGGTCTAATCAAACGCAATTCTCGTAAAATTATCTTAGCTAGCACTGTAGGTAATAAACTGGCAACAAAACTCACCTTCTTAGAAGATCTTGAGTTAGTCTGCGGCGTTGTTGCCTTGGAATTTCTCTTCTTTCTCTGTTTTCCTTTCGTCTTATTCCCATTTTCTTGGCTCGCACACCACTCTTCCTCCTCATCTTCTTCTTCTTCATCTACTCTCTTTTCTTCAGCTTCCTCAGCTCCTCCTTTAACTGGAATCTGCTTCGCACTGTTCGGAAACAGCGTCGACTGAACAAACTTTCGCCTGCTACGAAGTCCTTCCTCCACTGCTTCAACATCCTCCATTGGATCAGCTTTGGTTAGGGTTTTTTGCAATTTGGGAATTCCAATTGAGTGAAGAAGGCTCCCCAGAATTTCCCCTTTGCTTTTTTTTTTCCTTTTTACCTTTCGTTGCTAGGCTGTGGGGCCCACTTGGTTATATGAAAACAAAGGATTAGGTAACCGGTATAGCCGGTAACAGGTTACCTGTGGTTGCTATTTCCCGCGATTTTACTCGGCATTCCGTTTAGATTTCCCGCGCTCAGTTGAAATGCATTAATTAATTAATTAATTAATTAAGTTAATATATTCGCACTGTTTTTTTTTTAAATCTGGACAGTTTTAACTTTTAATTAAGCTATATACTTTGCTACAATTAACTTAATAGTTCTAAAAAAAAACACTATTATGTACCTAGGCGATAATGGACTGGTGCATTTTGTTCACCTCACGCATGAGATATAAAAAGCAAAAGATGATTAATTCTACGTGATTAATAAATAAAATCCAAATATGCAATACCTTGGAACCAACTTGAAACAAAAGCTAACTTGCACTTGTGGCAAGGTTGTGATAATAGGGTAGGATGTCATTAACTCGAACACCATTTATTTGTTATACGTATGACGTATGTATGTATATTATATACGCCAAAATATTATGTGCAATACGAGCAAATAGACATCACTTACGTGAATTAGCCTTATGTGCACATATAGTACCGTGTTTTACACATACAATATATATTTTCTACCGTCATCCAACAATCACTACAAACACTACCATCGATAAACATATTTACTACGATACGAACAAGCACTAAGGGTGTGTTTGGTCGAGAGGAAAATACTTTCTGAAAAATATTTTTAATTTTCTAATATTTAGTTGGTTAAAATATTTTCCCTAGTAAAATATGTTCCTTAACAATGAGGAAAATGATTTCCATAATAAAAGTAGGGGAAACAAGTTTCATATCTCATGATATTCCAAGTCTATTGGTCTCTTTTTTATCACCTACTCAATGCCCCTCCAAACCCTCCCCTTGATCATTCTACCCCACCACCCCTAACTTGCACTGCCCACCCATAGTGTTTTGATAGATCACATATATATGTTTTTTTGCAAATGTATGAGAGCCCTAGGCACCCAACCAATACCGCAAGAACACCAAGGTGCCTCCAACCCCTTAATTCTCATTATACACGTCTCATATATACTTTAATTCATAGTATTATTTTTTTTTGTTTTAACATTATATGGACTGTGGTACATCAAAATGGTGTTGGTCGCCATGAAAAAAGTTCATTATTTCGAAGTTTGTCAAGAAGAAACTGCTATAGATAGCCTTAATGGGATAAGGAAACATTTGGAAGTTGGAGATGATAATTAAATTAGCAGTTATATGTTGCAGCCCAATACAATTTAAATTACGAATTTTAATTAAAGTATAAATTGAAGGGTTTTTTTTCCGTTTAATTGAAATAGTATTTGTATCGTTACGTTAAGCGGTAGGTAGGTAGGTATGATATCTTTGTGGTTGTGATGCAGCGGATGATGAGTGAAATGAAAGGAAAATTTATTAGTTTTCGAGGTGGTGTATGTCCCTTATATATTTGTGTGTCCTTTTTGTATACATGTGTATCTATTGTATATCATGTATATATATGTATATCTATGAAAGTCTATACATGATATATATTGATATACACATAAAGAAGCGTGATATACATTGTTGCATTGACGTTTTTTCTTTGAATTTCGACTTCATCTATTAATGTCTCAAGTTTTGTGTATAGCCTCGTTCAAGTGTTTTCAAAGAATTTACGCCATATAAAAGTTTTTATGTCCTCCCATAAAGGACTTTATTTCAGTGCTCAAATCGCGAGTAAGGTAAACTGTTACCATTTCATCACACTCCTTATCGGGTGTACTTTTAAAATTAATTAAAGAGAGTGCAAACAACTTTGAAGGAATTTAAAGGAGGTTTGAATTCTTATTAAAAGAAACTACACATAAGTCATACACACAAAAAGTACTAGTACTCTATATCTAATCTTCTTCCTCATCAGTGATAAATTTGCCAGTACCAGGATTAATAGCAGCAAAGAAGAAGAAGGCAATGTTAAACAACAAAAGAGGCTCAATCTCATTGATTGGGACACCTGTCTCAAAGTTCAATTGCGCCAATGCTCCTTTTCCTGTGATAATTTCACCTATAATGGAAAATGCAATTCCCAATTGTGCCAATCTTCCTACAAACAACTCATTTGCCTTTGTGAATCCAAAAAGTGGACCTGCAATATTCAATCAAACAACGTCACATAAAATGTTTTTTTTTTATACCGACAGTGCATAGAACTTAAAAATATAAAGTTATAATACCTCCTTCAGTGAGTCCCAAAGCAGACTTGAAGGATTTGCCAGGAGGGATGACAGCCTTTTCAAGGCCAGTAGCAGGGGAAGGGTCATCAATAAATTTGCCTCTGTCTCCCAAAGCTCCAATGGCTCCAAGAAGATTGAATAGGATGAAGAACAATAGAAGTGGCTCTGCTTCATAGATTGGAATTCCAGTTTCAAGATTCAATTGTGCCAAAATACCCTTTCCTGTTATTGCTTCTCCCAACAAAGATGCCTATACATCAAAATTAAACATCAGCCTCGTTATAACTGATAAAGTTGTTATGTAACAAAGAGTACACATGTCAGTATTATTATTTAACTATTACTTTTAACTAATATGTATATTTTTTTTCCACTAGTTACGATAGATGTTACTAAATTCATAATCGTCATAATTATTGATTTTTAATTAAATATTTATACATATTTACTGAATTCTCTAATATGAATAGAGTATCTACATAAACATTATTGAGTTGCATTATCCAATACATGTTCAATAGGACAATACATTGACCTTGGGATTTGACTCAATTTGTCTATCTATGTAGTACTATCTACGTCTATCTATGTAGTACTACTAAATTTCATTTAATATATTAAGCCTTTAATAGAATAATGAAAGTATTTCTTTTTATATTATACTTTTTTATGAAAATCATTATAAATAATTATTCTAAGAGTAATTAAGGGACTTAATTAATGGTAATACTCACAGCAAAACCAATCATAGCAACACGGCCAACAAATAGCTCATTTTGCTTAGTGAAACCAATTCCTCCTGAGGTACCAAAAATCCCATCCTCCACCTTTTGCTTTTCCTTTGGTGGTGCAACCTGTCGAAATTCAAAAATAAATATTTTACAAAGCTATCGACATTTTATACACGTTGAATCTCACTTATTTGACAAAAAGTCTATAAAAGTGTAAGATCATTTTGAAATACGTACGTGTTCAGTCAAACTAAAACGTCAAATAAATTGGGAGAGAGTGAGTTACCTTTTTGGGAGGAGCTTTAGCTTTTGACTTGAATAGAGCAACAGTAGTACTAGTGAATTTTGAAGAAGAAACATTAGTAGTAGAAGAAGAAAATCTCAAAGGAAGAGAAGGCAAGAATAAAGAAGACAAAGGCTTAGGCTTTAGTCTTTCAACTAAAGATTCTTTACTCCTTAAATCAACTTTGGCATTGGCTGTTAACAACATTGTTTGAGCCATTGCTTATTCGTAACAACTTCAAAATTCCCTTTGAGTTTTGATGAATAAGTAGAAGAAGAATAGGTACGAGAATTGCACTTCAATTAATTTCTTATAAGATATGGTGGTATTTTATAGAAAATGAATGGTGTCCATTAATTTTGAAGCTAGGGATTTTTTGTATTATCATCACTGATCGTGGATAGAAAGTGAGAGTCTATAGAGCAACCACGTCTACCTATGTACTTTATGCGTTTGTGAAGAAAAATGTCCCCTATTCTTCTAGTGTTTTTGGTTGGTCCTTGGTCCTCAAAGCATGTCAACATAGATTAGCACGCACCTCAATTAGTTCTACGAGTATTTGTTACTTTTCACTAACATAAACATATCAGGAAACTATATATGTCCATTGATGCTAGGATAAATATATATATAAAAAATCATCTAATATTTACATAAATATTAATCCATTCTATAATTTGAAAATAATTATATATAGAATTTAAGTCAGACACACCGGTCCTTCAGATTTTAAGTCAGATACATGTGTCAAAGATACTAGATATGTGTTTCTTTGATACCAGATACATTATGAAATACAAATACATAGAAAGAGAGGTGAGTGAGAGAATCAACATGTATCTTTTGATACTCTATACATGTCTTTTTATATAAGATATATCTTAAATACAGATACATGACAATTATATTGAGAGAAGGAGAGAGGTGAACGACAAATCAATGTATCTCATATACATATGAATCACGCTTGAATACAATGTATCTAGAAAAAATTACCTAAATACACAACTTATTTTACCATATTCTCTAAAATTTCATACCATTTGAAAAAATTACAGAAATCCCTACTCTTTCCTATTCTCATATACATCACTTTACGCGATGTATAAGTCGGATACATCATTTTGCGCGATGTATCGGGATATTGAGTGATGTATCGAAAACTGAGACGTGATGTATCGGGACGTTGAGGGATGTATAAGAAATCGAAACACGATGTATCAAGACGTTTTGGGATATTGTATCCAGATTCCATCAAATTTAAAGTATTTTTGTAATTTGATAAAGAATAGATATATGATGTAATTAGCTCTTAACACTAATGATGTTTTTGTAAAATTCTCATAAATTAAACCTAATTTAACCCCCCACATATATCTAAGTGTGCCATATAGATGTATCTGAAGAAATAAATATAATACGAAAGGTAAATTCAAATTAAAGTGAAGACACGTAATCACGTCGTAACAAAAATGGACATTAAACACATTGTAAATATAATGTAATGAATTTTATGTAGAAACATTTGCAATCACTAACTAGAAAAAACAAAAAAAATTAGACAAGAAAGATGACGACACGTGTCTAGTGAAATTAAACTTATGCAACGATTGTGGGAATATCCAGAACTGAGAACCACAGCTTATCGGAGGAAATTGTGAGGACCAAATGTTTCCACTTGCCAACGCACAGTGATGTATATATACTTTTTATTTA